CATCTCGCTCGAGGGAGAAACCCTCGTGACGCTGTTTCGGATCGGGATAACCTACCATCGTCCCGCGGATCTCCCAGACACCACCAACCTCGGCTGGAAGGAGGCAGTCATCCGGTGTCTGGAGAGCTTCCGATCCCGATCCGGGACCCATCTGCCGGCCTTTCCCGAGTCAAGTAAGCCGGCCGTTCCTCAGGCAAGCCCGCCGGATGTTAATGTGGTAAGCACGTAAGCGCTACCCTGATCCCCAGTTAAGCCCACGGAGGGCTCCTGATCCCGAGTATAGCCCAGGAAGGGCTCCTGATCCCGAGTATAGCCCAGGAAAAGCTCCTGATCCTGAGTATAGCCCAGGAAGTGCTCCTGCTACCGAGTTCAGGCCAGGAAGGGCTCCTGATCCCCAGTTAAGCCCACGGAGGGCTCCTGATCCCGAGTATAGCCCACGGTGGGCTCCTCATTCCCCGTTAAGCCCACGGAGGGCTCCTGTTTCCCCGTTAAGCCCACGGAGGGCTCCTGATTCCCAGGCTCCGCCATGGCAACCTGAGCCCCCTGTTCCGCCATGGCCTCCTGAGCCCCCTGATCCACCATGGCAACCTGAGTCCCCTGTTCCGCCATGGCCTCCCGAGTCCCCGGCTCGACCATGGCAACCCGAGTCCCCTGTTCCGCCATGGCCTCCCGAGTCCCCTGTTCCGCCGAGTGTGTGTGTTTCACTGCCTTGTTGTGTCTACATTAAAAGTCATTATTGGAATCCTTGTCGTCCTGCCTGCCTCCACACATCCGGACAGTGACAATACGTTGTTATAAAATATTATTCATAAATTACAAATTAATCATTTATTTAAATATATTATGAATTATAATTAATAAATTAAAAAAATTTATTCATAATTTGTATTATTCTTTTAACAAAAAAACTTGCTTTTGTGATATTCAAAATCGGTAATAATAATAGAAACATATTATAAATGTACAAATGTGTACTACATATGTAAAATAATATATATAATAATATACTGTATACGCTTGTGTGTGTATTGTATTATTTTACATATTTATTATATATTATAATAATTTATTATAATTATAATGGTCCTTTTTGTCCAGCAAGAAACATTTTAAGGTTATACATATAATACAATATGTACTGGTCTTTTCAACAGGGTAGTTGACAGCAGACATCAAAACTTACCAAAATCATGCTGAAGCTAAATAT